CTGCTAAAATGTGACATAGATGTTCTCAGATATCACTGTCAGGCAAAAGTGCACAATGAAGAAACACAGGTCTCGTGGGCAAAACTGATTTAGGGACACAATACTCAAAACACCATTAGCGACCTTAAATGCAGCGGACAGCACTCCGACCAACATGGCGGCCTGGTCCCAGATATGTCAAGTGGATGGAAGTGCATAAATGTGATGATAAAATGGCACTTGGTCTTAGAAGACCTGACATTTGTGTGAAGAAGCAGGTACCAGAAGTATGCCGCTGGAGGCTGACCATGAACTTGTGGGAGGGGGCAGCTGGCAGCTGGCTGAGGTACGTGGAGAGGCATTCTCTGTTTTCCCACACAGCTTGAGTCAGCTGGGTGCATGCATGCATGTAGTGTTTCCTACAGATTAAAAAAAAAAAAGTCACATCCGTGGGCTTGAACTTTGTCTTATGCTCTCGTGACCCCCTGATTGGTGGAGCTCATGGGGAGGCATCTGCATTTTCAGAGCATGCATCATTACCCCACTGACTCCCTTTCTCCGCAGACCAGGCTAGGTGTTCTTTGGGGCTCTCCCTCATTAAAGGACCGGTGGGACATTGTCCTGACTAGGAGGTGGGGGTGCTTCACACAGAAGGTCCCCCTGGATCGAGCATTAAATATAAACAGGGTATCACAGGCAAAGCCAGTGAGCCAAAGACCTTCCAACGGGGAAAAGCACAGTCAAAACACACTGAGAAAATCAGGTGGTGCATGATTGATGCATCCTACATGATGAACCAGCCCATCCTCCACTGCCTCCCTCAGCCCCCCGCCCCCTGCTACAGTGTGGGTCCCTGGAGGCAGGAAGAACGCCTGTCATTGTCATCATGGTGCTGGGCCTAGCGCCTGTCCAGGGCAGGCACTTGGTAATGTCCAAAAATGGCAAACCACTAAGAGCATAAACACACCAGGGCTGGAGAAGTGAGGTGTCTCTCACACAGCCTCTCTGGAATACACAATTAACACAGAATTTACAGTATGTGGACCTAAGTTAATTATCTCTTATATCAATGGCTTGACAACACCAAATAGCTGCAGAGCTCTTTCTCTAATGAGATTTTCATACAGATAAAGGTGGTGATTCATCAGTGAAAACATGGTGGTGATTTCTTTGCAGTGCACACTTACTACCAAGGCATCTCCCTCAGGGTGAGTCTATTTCATGTCTATTTCAACAAACCCAAAATTCTGAAATTGGGTTTTCCTGATCGCTTGGGTTGTGTCTGTATCGCTGTGGCCTGAAACTCTGGTCTTGTTCTTCTTTGGCTAATATCAAAAGTACTCTGGTTTTCAAAGTTGGAAACCTGTCCCCATTACAAATATTAACTTGCCTTGACATCTCTCAAAGTAATCTTCAATTAAACTGATTCTGAAAGTTACACAGAAGAGATGGCAAATTTCAACGTTTGCACATGATTTCCAGTTTCTTGTCATAACCACTGCTACCATTCCACAGAGGAGACGTGAACAGGCCTGGTGTTTCAGACATGACAACCCAGGCAGCCAGTGTAACAAGTGAGAAGTTTAAATCAAATGAAAGCAGTGACAGAGGAACCTTATCTCAAGCCCTCCATCCCAACAACCTCATGGAAATATCTGGCAGACTATCAGCATTAGCAGCAACGGTGTCTTGGGTACTTATTTCTCAGATATTCTGCTAAGTGCTTTCCATGGAGTAACTCATTACATTGCTACAAAATTACCATCAGAGATAGGAACTATTATCTTCATTTCATAAATGACAGCTGAGAGAGAACGGTGACAGCAAAGGTGACATGTACCAGAGTTGCGGAAAGCTGCTGTTCTGGAACACTGTTCAAAGCTCTTGACTCAGTTGTGCTGAGGATACAGTGCTGGCTTCACTCAGAATCCCTTGCCTAAATGCTCTTTAGTTAGAAAAGCTGGATTATGCATGGCAGCTGTGAGAAAAGCCATATCCGACCAGGGAGCAGAAATTGGATTCTGGAAATGCATTTTGGTTGATGCCAAAATTCAGGCTTCAGCATTACAACACGTGGAAAATCTCAAGCAGTCCGGGTCCTCTCCCAGGGCTGGCCGTCAAGGATCCACCTAGGTGGGGAGGCACCTGCGTTCACCAGGGCTGACTCAGAGGCAGCCAGGACAGACTGGGGCCCTGTTGAGGGCCCAGCCTAGGAGAAGCTACATCACAGGACAAAACCATGTGTGCAAGGAAAGGCCCTGTGCCTCGATAAGGTCAATAGCAATCACCAATGCCCTCATGGCTGTAATGCTAGTGTAAGGAAGGTACAGGAAAATGGGGTGAAACATCCAAATTGAACAGGTAGTGTCCTTGACAGCAAGCACCCAGTTAAATAGGAACAACCACAGACTAGGGAAGGCACGTGGTATCTTGTGAAAGGAAGCTTCTGAAGAGATGCTGGCATGAAAACTCAGAGGACCAAAGGGAGCTACCAAAGGCAAAGAGAGTGACTTAGGTCACCGCTCCCCACCCCGGGCCTCAGTGGGTTAGAGCCCTGTAAAGAGAGCCTTCCTATCATGACGCCAAGACACATCTTTAAAAATACTTTTGTGGTATTGCTGTGTCCCATTCTAGGCACTGAACAAATACTCGTGTAGTCATCACAGCCTATGGGCTGACACCACTAACCCCACTGACAGGGGCCAATGGGAGGCCCAGGGAGGTGAGGTCATCTGCCCAAGGTCACAGAAATGAATCAGACCGACTTGCTCTACACTTGCTCTTCTGTCATGATGTCAGGAGGATTGGGGGGTGGGAATTTGGCCATGACATTCATGTTGGTTTTCACATGACACTTTTCAAAATGTTGTCTGAGACATTTCCAAAATGAAATATCAGTCTCAGTGGGTTCAAGGCAGAGGGGCATGAAATCCACCCCTCCAGGAAACGCGCAGGCTCGCTTTGGCAGTCTCAAAGCACTTAGCCGGTCCTTGTCAAGGAGCCATGTCTGTGGACATACATGCACACACATATATAGTGAAATCTACAGTTACAGACAGTGAAGTGAAACAAATTATTTCTTTAACTACAAAATTTGCTCAAGATCAGAGGAACAGAAGCAAACCCTCAGATACCAGGGGTGCCTGGCGCCCAAGATTGTCTTGCGCTGGCCTCGCTGCCATTCACAAAGCCCTCATTAGCAGCTGGTCAGCAGTAGCCGTGGTGCAGGCTCACAGAGCCCTGTGGGAATAGTGAGCTGTTCTTTACAGTGCAGTCTAGCAGGGAGGGGTGGAGTTGAAAGGCTAACACCAACCTCATGGGAAGAGATGAGCTTAATTTTAGAATATGGTGTAATTCACAGCCCAAGGGTCATTCACCCCATGTTGCTTTGTCTTTCCATTTTGCATCTGTTATATGTGTTACACAGTTAGCAACTCGCAGCTCCTTTAAACCACTCCAAAACATACACATTCAAATGGTTATTTGCCAGGAAACTGTAGGACTGCCAGACGAGATGGCCAAGTTTCTTCTCATTTCTTTACTGGGGTCTCTGTTTGAAGAAATAAGACTGGACATGTCCGGGCAAGTCCTAAGTCTGGCAAAAGTGCTTGTGTCTTTAGAGAAAAGTCATCGACAGGAAGAGGTTGTCCATACCACACAGGCACGTGCCCCACTGGCATGTTCAGGAAAGGCCTGTGATTGGCCGGCTTGCAAGTGACAGGCACAAATGCAGCTTCCTGCCTGGACAGAGCTTATGGCTTAGAGGGGAGGTGGGCAGTGAAACCATCTGGGTACTGGATGTATAATCACAGATGCAGACCAACAAGGTCTTGGAGCACATGCACATGAAGAGGCTGGCCTGGCCTGTGGCGAGGGGGAAGAGCAGCTCACTGGAAAGCACGTTCTAAGACTCAGAAGTAGAAGTGTGTTCAGAGGGAAAGTGAGGGGAGCTATGGGGGAAATAAGTCTGAAAAGATAGACAGAGTGAAGACCAGGGAGGGGGTTGGGGGGCTGTACACTCCAGTACGGACAGGCATTTTATCCTCAGATCAAAGGAAGGCACATTTGTGAAAGGTCATGATCAAATACATGGTCAAGGAACTAAGCCACAGAATCTATTCATTGCTTTCTTTTATAGTTTGTGATTAAAATGTGCTTCTCTATCTACTTATTCATGTCTTTGTTCATATAATTCTTGCTTTGGAGGGATACAATCAATGAATAAAAATTGTATGTATTTCGGTTACACAACCATCATCTTGCCAAGTTTTCAACCAAGGAAATGATTAAGCATGTTGTGCACAAGTGAATGGTCCCTCCACCCACTTCCCAAGGGAGTGAAAGGAAACAAGGACAGCCGTGGGGTCACCGTTCAAAGCACACACAACATTGTGTCAGAATGAAGTGTTGAATCCAATTAGTAATTTGTCAGTGTAGACTGGACCAGCCAACACCACGAGGTCTTGGCCTCCTGCCACTGGCATTTTGTAAATCAGAATTAAGCCACAAGATTTACTTTTTAGGAATACTCAACTCATTACACTGTAGGTATAGTGAAGGCAAGTCTTTTTAAAAAATAGAAAGAGAGACATATATTGACATAATGACTATACAAATAAAGCCCCAGAATTTCCATGTGTCAAGAGCTCAAGTAGTGTTAATACTTCTGTGTACGTGTGGGGGAGCAGAACCGCCACCTCTTACTCAAGATTACAATTTTCTGTGGCCTGAATGTCTTCATATTTAACTGCATCCTGGGTAAAGGTCTGTTCTGAAAGTCTATGATGGGGACTCCTCCAGGTAGATCCACTGAGTTACCCACAAATTCAACCAATGGCATTCCGTCAATTAATATATGCATAAGCTCTCCAATAAACGTGCTGTCTTCTTGTTATAGCGAAGACCCTGGAGGTCACTGTGCTTGCTCCCAGCCATAGTCATTCTTGACATGGCTGGACATGTTCGGACTCCAGCTGCGGTCATTTTATTTGTAATAGTGTCTTGTGTGTTGTGTCTCCTAGCTCTACATACAAACTACCACGCTCACAATCTCCATGAACCTAAGTGCGTCCGTGGCGCTGGGGATGCTTTACATGCCGAAAGTGTACATCATCATTTTCCACCCTGAACTCAATGTCCAGAAACGGAAGCGAAGCTTCAAGGCCGTCGTCACAGCAGCCACCATGTCATCGCGGCTGTCACACAAACCCAGTGACAGGCCCAACGGTGAGGCAAAGACAGAGCTCTGTGAAAATGTAGACCCAAACAGTAAGTAGCTCTCTTCCTTTTCATCTCCCGCCGTGCATCTGGAAGTGCTAGGCCATGTGGTGTGAGCTTGTCTGCCTTTGGAGAGAGACCATGACTCTCCTTGTCTGACGGACTGGGTTGTCTTAGGGAGTGGGAACTTCTGCTCTGAAGAGTTTGCCTTGTTCTTGCCACCATTCCCTGGGCTCCCTGTTGGGAAGTAGCATTTAGAGACTAAGCTTCAGAAGTGTGAAACCTCCCCCTGCCTGGCTTCTAGTCCTTTGGTAGCCAACCCTCCAATGGACATAAACACATGGCACGTGTGACCCAGCAATCTGGCTCCCTTTCTCAAGAAAGTAGGGGGATTTCAATAATTGATTGAACTGGAGTTGAAATATTTAAGAACTTTGGAGGTATAGCTTGACCTTCCGTTGGAACATGAATGTGGAGAAAGTTAGGATTCTTTATGGAACAACAGATCCTATGTATGTTAATGTTAATTTTATTCAATATAAAATATTGACCAAATTCGGCAAATGTCCAGCCAAGCGGACAGGTCCAGTTACTGCCATGCAGAGGGCATCCCCACACAAGAAAAGCATCTACCAAAACATTGTGGAACCCTCCATTCCATCCAAGAGAAAATATCAGCACTGGGATTAAGGGTGAGAGATCAGATCTGATGTACCACTGGGCCTATCCGCAACCCCTGGGTGGCTGTTAGACACCTTTGCAAATGACCCCAAAGAAGACGTGCATCCAGACAAATAAGAAAAAATATACAAAAGCCATTTAACCTGAGGTTAAAGGCATAGACCTCCCAGTTGCTGCTTCTATAGACACTATGGTGGTTAAGAATGAATTTTAGATGAAAAACATCATTTCTAAGGCTTGCATTTCAGTACGTTTTTGGTGAGTTCCATATAAAATGATGCAGAGTCAAGCGCTGATGACACTTCCTATTTTTAGTCAAGGGGGAGTTCAGGTTGTCCATTAAGTCATCCAGAAGACATACTGTCTTTGTAATTTGAGCTGATTTTGTTGTAGCCAAGGGCTTTGGCTGTTGTTGCCAAGCAGGAGGAGGCCGCCAGAGGTAAATCCTTTAAGCTCTGCACATGACAGATAGAGATCTCTGCAAAGCAGGAGGCAGCTGAGTTGGAGCCTCCATTGCAAAATTGTCGGTGGGGGTGAATGTGAGAAGGGAGAAGCACGTCACATGTGTGGGCACTGGTCCCGTGTCTTCAGAGCCAATGGCTGCTTGAGAGGAGGGAAGCGGATAAAAATTGTATTCAGTGTCATGGAGAAAGAGGCCTCGGGCAGAGACAGACCTGGGTTCAAATCCTACCCCTCCACTTAGCACCTGTGTGACCCAGAGACTCACCGAGCTTTCCTAAAGCTCAGCAACCCAATCCAAGGGAAAGAACCATTTCTGTGTCACAAGAGAAGCGTGTCATAAAACACCACGGGTCTAGAAAAGAGGATTTCATTGAAAAGTTAATTTCCTTTCATTCCTGAAAAGGGAACAATCTTTGCCTCAAGTACATTTCCAGGTGCTGGGTTATCATGAAGACATTTTCCTGGAGATATTCCAATCACACTTTTACATTTATACCTACCTATACACACACACATGCACACACACACACACACACACACACACACACACGCTAGATATAAGCCAAATCAATAAGCAGAAAAGGTGGTCAAAGTTTCATTCAGTGAAGGAAAATGATGAAATGAAAAATTGTGCATTTGGCCAGTCAACCCAATGCTATGTTATTTAAAAATGACCAGCTTTCAAGCAAACACAATTTCTACTCTTTAACTTTTCATGATGTGGTTCTATCCTTGTTGAGGCTGTTCGGAGGGTGATAATCGTTGTTAAGATTTTAATACAAACACTAATAATAAGCTACCATGAATGATCATACTCCCACCAGCTGCCCTTTGAAATAGGCCTTATGTAGAATGCTCTGTATGGAAAAATCTCTTCTAACTCCTCACAAAACATCTGTAGTATCTGGACTGTTATTGTTTAACTGATAAAACATAGGCTCTGTGAGAGATGCCCCCGCATCACACACCTCACTAGCAGCAGTGGTGGGGTGAGACCCAGGTCTGATTCAAACCCATGCTTCTTTCTCTTTGCTCTTCTGGTTCTTAGATTGTGAGTGACATGTCACAACCCCAACACAGAAGTTGCTCTTGGTTTCCTCATTGGACAATCCACCTTCGATATGAAGAATATAAGGTGGGGGTGGCTGTCCCTGTTCAATATGCTGTGAAATGTATTATTACTTGCTACAAAGACAAGGGTACTGAGCTCAAAGAAGGCTGCCCGGGTAGAGCCCTCATCTTACTGACTCAAAGCTACAATGACCCCCTGCCCTACCCCCAACAAAAGGGTGACGCCATTTGCAATTCACCGGGCACCTTTCTCTTGACAGAGTGGTGTTGGTTTTTGTCATTGTGCATATGGCGTCTCCACAAAGATAAACATTCAGAAACCAAAGTGGAATCAAATGGAGTCTTTGTCTCACAACTAGTTCAAAGGGCTTTTGAAAGATGTCTTAGCATTTCTGGCTTGGTGCCGATACCCCTAAAACACCAGGAAGGCTTTGACCCCAGATTTGCTAAACCACTGGAAGCAATTTACACACTTCCAAACGTGGTTTCTGATGACCCGGCTCTCAAAATTCCTGAGGAGGCATCTGAAGACATCCACAAACAGCGTGTCCCTAGAACTTTCTGTAACTATGGACACATCCTGTTTCTATGCTGTCCAGCCACAGACGGCCATGGCCGACTTGAAACACGGCTGTGTAACTGAGGAGGTACACTGTTCGTTTGACTTTGTTTTAAATCCTTTAAGTAGTGGGCTGTGGCTGTGGCTCCTGGACTGGGAAGAATAGTTCCAGAAATTACTGTATCTTAACAGGCAAGGATTTCAACCTGAGCCCACATTGGAATTAGCTCCCAAAGTTTTAGCAACAATATTTATCTGTAGCAAATTCCACTTAAAGGAACAAAATGTTTGAAATGAGACAAAAAGATGAACAAAAATTGTTTACAATGATTCAAAAGGAGCCACTGACATGCCAATAAGTGATGCTGATAGCAACCCTATTTGGAAAACCCGTCCCTGGCCATGTGACACGAACATACACAGGGACAGAGCAGTAGCGAAAAGCGTACGATATCCATATCTAGGGAAAAACAGTAGCGAAAAGCTCCATTAATGAGAACAGGAAAGACTCTTCTGAAGCAAGGGAATATTAACTTCTATTTAACTCAAATTCCTAAACTTTGGTAACTGACACAGAGGAATTATTTATTGACATCAAGTTGTCTAGTTGAAAAGAAGCCAAGAAAAGCACAGACCCTGTGCTAGAAAGAGGAAGGTGTCTTTCCAAAGGGGAAGTTTCACATGCTGCTCTCTGAGGGACAGTGTCCGAGAGGAGGTAGTTTTGAGTCTGCACTACAAGTAAATAACGAAATAGAAACGTCCTGTATTCATTGCTGCTCTAACCACTGAGTGTCGATCTACTCCTCAGCTGTCAGTGTTTCCATTCAGCAGCTCTGCTCCATCCCTGCAGTGTGCCCTCTGGTGCATGCCCGGCCTACCATCCAGCTCCACGTGCAGCTTCACGCCCACAAAAGTCACGTTGGCTTGTTGGTTTCATGGGGCAGACATTAAAGGTGCCCAGCACTGCCTGATCGTTTCCCAAAAAAGTTCAATTTTCCTCTTAGGTTTTGCTGCGTCAGTTAAAATGCCATTGTTTGAAGAAAAGATTGTCTAGAGTAAACAGAGTAAATCTCAGAATTTTCAGGGGCCTGTGTGCTATGGACATCACAGCTAATCAGAGGCAGCCCAATGCTAATTGGTTTTCTGCACCCAGATGGCATAGCAGCAGGGGGCCTGGGGTGGCCCAGCTCATGATGGCATTTTCATTTATAAACAAGATCCCTGTGGCTGGAGGGTCGGGAGAGCCCGACCTGGGTGGGCAGCTGCAGGTCTGGTCAAGTCTTCTCAACATGCCCTCCTAAGGGAGGGGGCCTCAAGCCCTGGTCCTCACCTTATGGCACTGAACATGGCATGTTCCCTGCCCTTTCTGTTGCTGACCTGGCACAGGTATGTTCAAGGCCACGGGTAGATGTCAGACAAACAGGGAGGCTTGGTTGAGTCTGGGGGCTGGGCTGGCCCATGGCCCCCCAGTCTGTGTCCAGTTGGGGGGTGATGCTGACGGAGCAGCATGGCTGTCTGGGGATGGGTGGGTAAGGACAGCTGCCATCCTCACCCGATGGGTAGAACCAGAAGATGCTCTGCGAGTGATCCTCTGGCCAGATGCTTCCTTGGAAAGGATTGCCGTGCATTTCGATGGCACGTTCAAGCGACCTTCATACTAAACGCTCACCCATTATCTAAGCTAAGGTCCCCAGGCAGTGCAGGGAAACTGCTGCCGTGCCCAGAGTGGTCAGCCTGGCAACAGCTAGAGATGGCAGGGTTGGACGGCTTGGGGCACACGCCCTTCTAGGGTGTGGGGCTGTTTATGGCTGATAAACCAGCCCTGAGATACAGGCAAGCGACGCTTCAGACTAGTTGAAGCCAAGGAGTGTGGGCTATGTGTAGCATGCTCTAGGAAAACAACCTAAGACAGGAAATCTAATATGTTCTGAAGTGATTTTTCTTTTCTACCTTCATCTATAATAGTCTAAGCAAGATAGAGCGATAAAAATTTGCACTTTGCTCAAAGAAGGCACAGTGACCCAAACTAACAGAACGCTCAACAGAAAGAGGTGTTTGATAGGGAAACAGAGAGAAATGCCAAAAAATCAAACCGCTGGAAACGGACATCGCCTAGGAATTCCGGAACACGCTCGTGCGCCCGCGAATTTGCTGTGGTTTTTGTCTTCTTCATTTTTGTGCTGCTTCATTTGTTTGGATCCCTAACATCCTCGACATTGTGTTATTTGTTTCGTTCGCTGGACTCATCACGCAGGCTGGTCAGCAGGACTGGACTAGG